CCATGTTTGGTCAATGTGGACTTCTGTAATAACTAAACTAAGTCAGAATCAAAGTGATTAAGGGCTTGTGGCTTTGTGAGAAGCCTAAAGACATGAAACGTAAAGGAAAGACGTTGTCTTTATGTCTTATGCTTGTAGAGTATAAATATTGATATGATTGTTGGTTTAAAACAGATTGTGATCTTGCTGTTTGTGGACTTTGAGCTTGTGTGGACTCTTGGCTTGGATAGTTAGCTTGCAAGGTAAGCTTTCGTGTCATCAGTTTAGCCATTGTGGGTTCCACCATACCCCATGGGGGGATAGTTTATATGCATGATGTATTTTCATGTATTGATTTATTGAAATGCTTTTGAGCTGTTAAGTGCAAATGCCTATAATATGTATGTGGTGTTCGCCTAGACGGGATTAAGTTCCTGTGGATAGGTGCGACATTGGCGTGTACTATTGTGGGTTGTAGACGTACGTACAACCTACGCTTCCTCTGATCAGTAGAATAGTTAACACACATGACATGATGATATGCTGCATTGCACTGATTTTGGAACTTATATGATATTACTGCTTTTGAACTTATATTGCACATGTAAGTGAGCTTGGGGTGGAGAAATCCTTGAGGACCCCTTGCATTACTGAGATTTCTGTTTAGAGATCTCACCCCACGTTTGGGGCACATATTTCAGGTTCAGGTAACTCAGGGGTTGAGACCTCGGGTGGCAGGAGACCGGAGCTGAGTTAGATATATGCTGCTTATGATGATTATGCTTGGATTATGTTTGGTGCTGATCTGCTTTACTATCTTTATGATTGTCTTGTTATCTGATTTAAGACTCTGTTGTCCATGCCACATTATTTGTCTATGTCTGTTCTGGATTTCGAGTCGTATTTAATGTATCAGGATAATTGTCTGGACTGCGTGTTATAGATCTGTGACTTAGATACTCACTTATTTATATTATGAGGTTATTCAGTGTAGTTAGTTGTCTATTTACAATTAAATACAGGCAATATTTTGAAAGTGATTTAAGTAATCAACTTGGTAATTGATAATGACGTCATGATTGACAAGAAAAAGATATTCTGCATTTTTAATTAAGCGTGGCTTAATACGATGACATGTTAACAAACCGGATATACACGGGGTGTTACAAGAAACATGTGCAAAGAAGCTAATTACCAAATAAAAAGACCCAGAAACACATATCCTATTTATACACAAAATAATTTCATTTTTTAATAATTAAGCCCAATAGTGGGATATTAATAGGATTAATAATTACTCATACAAAAAGTAATGGGAAATTAATGATGAACTATTTCCCCACCCTCAAGTTTAAATTTTGAATTTGAATACTTTCTTACCTACTAATGCAAAAAAGTAATGGTATATTAATATTAATACAAATGTTTGCTAGTAAAGAATATTGAACTATTTTACCACCTATAAAATTTAAAATTCAAAAGTTACTAAAAAAGGAATGTAAGGAGAATGCGACATATCAGCAAATTGAAGGAGAATGAGACACATAAGCAAACAAAGTAAAAGAGAATGCGACACATGTAAAACTTGCCAAAGAATGGTATTCTATATAGATATATATATATATATATATATATATATATATATATATATATATATATATATAAGTTATAACTGAAAGGGTAGAAAATAATTGGGCACAACCAAATTATGATAGTTTAATTGGCGCATGGAAATTGAGCAGATGAGATAAGAGTATGTGTTCGTTTCTCTCTATTATCACCTTTGAGAGGGGTTTTAAACCTTAACCTTGAACCCACCCAGAATCGGACTAATCACGAAACGATGAACTGATTGAAATATTTCAACAAAAAAATATAATTGGGTACTAGTTATCATTGTTTAAATTTATTTTCAGGGATATGTTATATTTACAAATTTTTTGTTTATAAACTACACTGCGTATTATAGATATTATATACTCAAGTAGTATAAAGAACTATTTCAACTCAAAACCTTTAAGTGTTGGGTGAGGATCTTTTTAATGGTTTATATTATTCTCTAACACATTCTTTCACACAAGAGCCCTTTGAGCTTGAAGTGTGGATATTGCACAAGCCAATGTTTCTAATTTTATCTTGTGCTTATTTTAATTCCACTCGAAAATAGGGGACAATGAAGATCAAACTCGTGACCTTATAATCACTAAAGCTCTAATAGCATGTAAAGAACTATTTAAATCCAAAATCTTAAGGTGTTGGGTAAGGGACTTTTATTGGTTTATATTATTCTCTAACAAATAGTATGTACTATCCGTAGTAGATAATGTAGTTTGCGAGAATTTGTAAACAAAAAATTTGTAAATATAACTATAATGTTATTATTATATAAAAAAAATTAAAACAGGTCTTATGACATGTGATATTATGGATTTTATTACAAATTTTTTGCCGATTTGGAATATTTAACAATTTTTCCACCGATGTATCACCGCCACATGGCATGCTATCTGTTCAATCATAATATCTTTTGTTTTTTAGGTATGAAATATATTTTTTTTGGAAAATCATCCTAATTATCTCTTTGAGGCGAATCAGAACCTCAGGTATCCTCACGGGTTCGACTCTTTAAGCTGCCTATGGGACTAATTCAAAGTTCGGGTGCGAGTCCAAAGATTACGGTACTTATGCCCCTCCCCAGATGGTGTTGGTAGAATTCGAACCGAGGTCCTCTTTCACCACTCAGTCTCTGTAGGTATGAAATATTTTACCTCGTATTTTTATTCACTTGCTAAGTGAATAAATGTGAGTATATTTTTTTTTTACAGATTTTGGATAATAGACGGAATCACGTGTGCTTGATAATATTTAGAAATTTATGCACCAGATATGATTGTATTCATGTTTGTTCATGAATATGTTGATTTCTGACGTAGGTAAGTTGTTTTGAGTATAACTTGAGCAATAACAAAATATTTTTTAAATGAAATTAATGACTATTAAAAACTTATTCAATGAACTATAATTATGAAAAAATTTACAATTGTTGGTCAAGAACAGTACTCTTACACTGTGCATGCATGTAAACATGGCTATTATGAGAGATTAGGGGTGTAAAAAACAAGCGGATCCATCGGGTTAGCTCGTAATTCATGAAAAATAAATTGGATTAAGTTGATAAAATTGAGCTGTCAACCCGAGTCAACACGACCCGATCAAGCTCGGACAAAATCGAGCTAACCCGCGGGTAAGCTCACGGAAAAAAAAAAAATTAAATTTAAAAAAATATGAAAGATGAAAGACCCACCCACCCACAAACACGTAGATAGGAAAACACACATTGACCCACTATTGCACCAACGCAAAAGTTACTAACTTGAGCATACCCAAGATCAAAGAACGCAAATTAAAAGAAACCCATGAACCCGAAGACCCATTAGAACCCATAGGAAACTAAAAAATGAAGTGGGGGTGGCGTTAAAGTACCGATTGTTTCAAGTGAAATGCGTTGATTGGAACTTTGCAGAGAGCATTTGCGAAGGAAGAGAAAGAAGGGTGTTGAGTGATTATGTTGTTTGAGTTTGTTGTTGTTCTTCAAGAGTGGTCTCTGCCACGAAGCATGGCATATCGTTCCGAAAGAATCTATCGACCATCTCCAACCAAAGGCACTAAACAACAGTGCAGAGTGTAGAAAATAGCCATCCCCTTCCCCCTTCTTTTCATCAAGTGCTTTGTATTCATCATCATGCAACATGACACAAAAAAGTTTTCTACACACAACATTTTGTGGAGCTCACACTTTTTGAAGTAAAAAAAAAAAATTAAGGCACGTAAAACGAATCTCTATAATATTACACAATCATTTTTTCTACAACATAACTCTTACAAAACCCTTTCGTTAATAGGTAGTGTAGAAAATGTAAAGTACCGATTGTTTCAAGTGAAATGCTGCTTATTGCTATCATTTTACTGATCTCCCCTTCCTTCTTCTTTTTATAAATATGATAATGTTTAATTTTTTCAAGCTTCGAGCCAATTTACGAGTCATTTTTACGAGCAAACTCTAAACAGGCTCTTTTTTTCGGGTTGAATGCTGGTTGGATTGGGTCGAGCCGGATTGGCGCGTTTTGCCAACCCCATGAGAGATGATTCAAGTGGTATATGCTTGATTTTGTTCAAGTAAGGTTTTGGATTCAAGTCCTAGTAAATGTAAAAAAAAATTCTATAAAAGAGCTAACTCCACCACGATGTGAATGTTCCGTCTCGAACATAATTACTTTTCACGGAGAATACCTACAGTCTATCCAAAAAAATTCCTAATATGATTTAGTCTATTAAATTACTGCATTTTGAATGAGCATAACTTGACTTGTAAAATTTTAATTACATTTTTCAGAAGTTTGAGATGTGTATTATATGATATGAAAATTTCAATATTTTCATCTTATCAATTTTTTTATTTTTATTTTTTATTTTTATTTTTTGCCTTCGAATATCCTTTCTTGTAAGCCTTCAAATTTTCTATCATTATTATTGTAAATAAATACAACAAATAAACTTAATTTTTAGGAAAAAAGAGTAGAAGTTGAGAGAAGAGAATGAAAGTGAGAGTGAGAGGAAATCACTAATTAATGAGTAACAGATAACAGCATTTATAAGGAGACGACCGTATGAGACTGTGGTTTTGCAATTTTTTTAAGTAGTTGCGCAAATTCAATCCGAGCATGCCACATTGCGTAATACTCCCACATCGATAAAAAAATTTCGGGATTCGCAAATAAATGTCAATCAACCTAATATTGCTATATTTTTTTCTCCAAAACTAACTTCAATTATTAGTTATTTATAATGGCCTTAATTAAAACAAGCACTAAGCAATTAATATAATTATTAAACAATCAAGCAAAAATATACACCTTTGGCACAATCAATTTAATGGTATAATTTTCAAAGAAGATTCATAAACAACATAAATTAGAAATTATACTTATTATGAAACAATCAATTTAATTAAGAAACCTACGTTCATAACTAAAATCGAGCAGACGTTGGTAGTAAATGTAGCTAGCTAATGGGCCTATACACTTCCCAAGGGACTCCCGAAACTACAACCCAATATAAAATAATAGAAATACTAGTCTCATATTGTAAGAGAATAGTATATCATGTCATACATACAAAATATGTGGAATCCACTCATTAAAATAAATAAATGAATAAACCCTACATATTTTGTGTTTATGACATGAGATAATATCCTACACTACATGAGACTAATATTCTTCATAAAATAATCAATGATTTTACAATTTGATAAAAATTTCAAACAAGAGTTTGTTTCAAATGAATAACCAAGCCCCAACTGGACTTTTCTCCATGTGATATTCACTTGTATCCTGGGAACAAAGCTTACAAGGGTCTGCTGCTCCAAGCAAAGTCCACGCTTTTGAAGATGGCAACAACTTATACACAGTAGAAAAAGCCAGTTAATTTGAAACCAATCCACCATCTGGGCAACAAAATGCCTTCTTATCATTACAGCTCTATCGTAATAGTCTTTGCTCCTCTTTCTGATCATAGATAAACTTCTCTCTCAATCAAACTTCAAATTTTTACCATCTTGTTGCTGCTTCATTGGCTCAGCAGGGAAGTATTTTATGCCAACTAGATCACCCACTCTGCTAATAACCTAAGAAGGGAGATTAACCACAGCAAGTTATGGTACGAAATATATCATGGAAGTAGCAAACTTAAACAATATCCTACAAGAAGCATATTGAAACAAATAAAATGACAAGAAACATATTGAACCTTGATATCTGATACAAGAGCACGTAGAATAGAAAATATTCATTTTCCTAGCAATGAAAAACACACCACAATAATGGTGCACAAAACTTTACCGCATCCCTTCTACACAAAATTGACACATTTACAACCACTTAATTTATGCATTTTTCAAAATGTTAACCATTGAAAGAAATTCAAAATACACACCTGCAAGGCTTTGATAAGGTCTTCTTTTGAATGAGAAGCAGATATGCATATGCGTGCTCTAGCCAGTAGCAATGGGGTTGCAGGAAATGCCACTGTCACAACAGCAACCTGAAACAGTACAAAACCATTCAAAAATTGTAAACATTAATTAAAAAAATTTATTCATAATGTAGGGCATCAACAGGGAGCATAAAGAGTTGGATGTTGATACTCTTACATTCTGCTTGAGGCACTCCCTTGAGAAGGCAGGGATTTTGGAGGGATTGTAAAGCATGATAGGCATTACCGGAGAATCATTATCCCCAAGAACCTCAAATCCCATCTTCTGCAGTTCTGACCTGAAAAAATTGCTATTCTCTCGAATTTGTGCAAGTTTCTGGGCACCTATCGAAAACAACTTACTTCAATGCAAAATAAATGAAGTATGGATTGATGCAAGTGATGCAAGTTACAAATACAAAGCAAAAAGCAGAAAAATTCCAGCCAAACCTCTACTGGAACCATCCTCTCCAAGAATAACTTTTATGGATGAAATTATTTGCTGTGCAGCTGGAGGTGAAATTGAAGTTGCATAAAGATGAGCAGGGCAGGTGTACTTCAAATATTGGATAATCTCCTAACAGTAGATCCAAAAGTTCAACATAAGAAACAGAGTTCAAATTATCTTAACAGTACAATACAATATTTCCGTGATGCTGACATGTAGACACCAATATGAAACAAAAATATGAAAAAGTCAACTTCCACGCGTGAAACAAAATGAATTCCACAAGTACCTCCAAGAGTACACTAATAAAGCCATATTACACAACTTCACTTGCATGAAACCGATAGGCATCCAGATACAATTAAGAAGGTTTATGATGCAATTAGGCCCAAGACTTATAAGAGAGATAAGGCCAGGAAAATATGGATCCAAACCCAACAAGGCCCAAACGAAACAGAGGAGCATTCCTCAGACACAGCCATGTAACCAAGCGGAATTCCCAAAAGTACCCCGTAACAAAATGGTGCGTGAAGTGGCATGAAGTTGTTTATACTGAGTGAGAGGAGGAAAGGAAAGGGGGAGCTGAATGATGAAAGGTGGAGTTCTTGGGAGAGCGTTAGACCTCTACAATTGTCTCACAATTATCTTTTCTTTTATTGCTTAGTCTTTTCCTTTTGTGTTGAACTCCCGTAATTTCCTTTTAGTATGGATTATCTCTGTTTCTGGGTTGTAACATCCTTCATGAATATTAAATCACTGGAGTATTTAGATCTAATTTTCCCTGTCCTGTGTTGATGATTTTGGGCTCATCTGGTTGGATCATAACAGTTTATGTCAAGAAAGGAAACCCCGGTAAGCCCAGTCTGCAGATATAAAAAGGACAAAACACAAAGGGCAACAAGGCAATTTCACCTAAGGAAGATGACATGACAAAACAGTAGGCAGTTAGAAAGGAGGAAGCTCTGCATAAAAAACTGGACAGCTTGCAGTCCAGGAGTGAGGAGAAAGAACTGGAAGGGTATAAAGGCATGTGTAATGATATAGAGCTGACAGAAAAGATACAAACACACAAAATTGTGTGTTAGAGAACAGAGTGATCTCTGGGCACAAGATATTTCAGGGAGGGTGTATTTATGTCATGTTTTCCTTTCTAGTATCAGAACATGTTTTCCTTTGGCTAGGACATGTTACACAGGTACTGGTACAGTAGTCCAATTCGATACAATACGAAACACAAATGCAATAATTATTTTAGAAATTAAGATATGGGAGCTGGCCATGCAGAAATATATATTAAATAAAATATTTATTTATATATGTGAAAAATTAAAATTAAATTTAATCTGTGATTATTCTATCCCAACCCAACTCTGGTGCATTCTCCACTCCAATGTTCCTTTTTTGTTCCAAGCCCTTGTCATCATCCACTCTCTTCGGCTCTCACCCCAGTACCACCACTCTGCCTCACCTACCATCAACAATTGCCATCATTATAGCTCATTTGGTTAGGATGAAAGTCTGCTATTTTATGAGATGACTTTGAGGAGGGCAATTACTTTTTTGTTTTTGGAGGTAATTGGAACTTTTCAAGTGGCAATACATGGTGGTGGGAAACCATACACACATAAAAAAGGATATGCCAAAAATACGAATGCAAATGAATCATATGAGTATTGGTATTGCATAGGGATATGGATACTTCAGCAATATTGAAGTACCTTGTGTAGTTCTCCATTTTCTGTCTGTTAATGCCAGTTACAGATAGTTAAAGAAATCAGAGTTGGATTTGAATCATACAATACAATACATGCATGGATCAGTGTGATTCCATATCACTGATTCATTCATATTTTTGTTATCAATTCTCATAGAAGAAATTGAGAAGTCAAATAAGCTCAAGTTCTTAAATCAAAAGGAACTAAAAGAACACCATGGAATGCATCTATTTGATTATTCGATTGTCAGACTTTCATTCTTCTAAAATAGGGGCTTCACACGCTCACTCACTCTAACCATCCTATTTGGCTGTTTCATTGCTCTATTTTCATTCTTTAGAAACAGAGGCTTTACACAACCACTCGCTCACACTACTTGCACCTTATTTGGCTATATCATTGCTCTGTTTTTGTTCTTTTAAAACATAAGATTCATACAATCACTTTATGTTATTCAGTTATGACTTATGGCATGATTTTTATTTTTTTTTGAGACTTACGGTTAAGTTATGATGGAACCTAATTTTATCAATCTGAAATTGATGAAAACAGAAATGGAGACAGGCTCTTTACAAAGATTAAATGCAGAAAAATACACCAAAAGACCCCAACTCACCCTCAAAGCCAACAAACCTAGGCTTCAAGAGATCCCCAAATCCCCAATATTCACTCAATTCATGCCTACCTCACTACATACACTGCCCCTCCTTTTATCCTATTCTCTAAGAACCTTCTAAAACAATTTCCTAACTAACTAACTAATTATTTCACTTTTAGGCCCTCAATACTCCTCTTCCAAAATTCACCTTGTCCTCAAGGTGAAGAGAAAGGATAGGCAACGTGAAAGAAACTTCCACCCAAGTCCCATTGTTTAAGATTCTTGACCCCATTGTCAATTTCAGCTCTTCTGCAACGTGCGCTGCCAAGAAGTTATGAGACGCCCCCAAGTCAATAAGGATAACGATTCTCTTCCCTTGAATCTCACCCCAGATCTTCAACGAACGACTAGATGTGATACCTATTATGCTATGAAAGCTCAACCGCAGGGCCCCTCCTTCCATCTTTTCCATTATAGCGCTTATTTCCTCCTCAAGTATAGATTCTTCACCATTGGTTCCCAAAAGCAACACATGCAGGTGCTGATTTTGACAAATATGATCAGTCGAAAGGGCATGTCGCATCGAAAGTCAAATTCTTACTTCGTTTGTTGGCCATCTCCTCCGGCGTAAGTCTCTTGAACCTCCGTTCGCCATTTGCAACGCCGTTTGCACCTCTATCGAAGGACGCTTGGGAAGATGCAACTGCTTCTAGAGTCCCAATAGGTTTGTTGTTGTTCGTATGGCCCAAATTAGAGACCATCACACTCCCTTGAGTGCCATTCATATTGGGCCATCGCTGATTTGCATTGGGCCCTGTCTTCCCTTCTCTTCCCAACCTATTCAGTTGAGTGTTCACATTTGGGCCTCTACTGGGAATTGAATCTGAAATATATTGTATATTCAAGTAAGTAAGTCTGTACAAGGAGGCTCTCTATCTATAGAGACTAAAAGACCTAATGGGATGACCTAATGGGCCAAGCCCACAATCTAGACTATTCTAGACTATTCTAATAATAAATTAATATTATTTCTAACACTCCCCCTCAAGCTGGTGCGTATATATCAAAACCTCCCAGCTTGTTACAAATATGATCTATTCGGGGACCTCTAAGAGCTTTAGTGAATACATTCGCAAGTTGATCATTGGAATTGACAAATGCTGTCTCGATCTCCCTTGATTGGATCTTTTCTCTAACAAAATGACAGTCAATTTCTATATGCTTGGTCCTCTCATGAAAGACTGGGTTAGAGGATATATGCAAAGCGGCTTGGTTGTCACAAATGAGCTTCATAGGCCTTTGTTCACAGATATGGAGTTCCTTCAGCAATTGACTCAGCCAGATGAGCTCACAGGTTGCATTTGTCATTGCCCCGATATTCTGCCGCCGCACTGGATCTGGCGACCACAGTTTGCTTCTTACTCTTCCAAGAGATCAAATTTCCTCCGAAGAGAACACAATACCCTGAGGTGGATCGTCTATCTGAAGGAGAACCTGCCCAGTCAGCATCTGAATAACTAGAGATCTCTGAACTTCCTTTATTTGTATATAATAAACCTCTTTCTGGCGCCTTTTTAATATATCGGAGAATTCTAATAACTGCATCCCAATGGGAGTCACAAGGAGAATCAAGAAATTGACTTGCAACACTCACTGCGAAGGAGATATCTGGCCTTGTCACAGTAAGATAATTCAATTTTCCAACTAGTCGGCGGTAGCGACTAGGATCTGGCAGTGGCTCCCCTTGTCCTGGTAATAACTTAACATTGGGGTCCATAGGTGTATCAATGGGTTTACAACCTAACATGCCAGTCTCATCTAGGATATCCAGTGCATACTTCCTCTGACAGATGGAAATGCCCCGCCTAGACTGTGCAACTTCGATCCCCAAGAAATATCGAAGTCTGCCAAGATCTTTGGTCTGAAATTTATTGAATAAATGCTTTTTCAACTGATCAATCCCGGTCTGATCACTGCCTGTAATGATAATGTCATCAACATAGACCAGGAGATAAACGCACTGGCCAGAAGAGTTATGCCGGTAAAAGACAGAATGATCGGCTTTGCTTCTGATTAATCCAAAGGATTCAACAACTGAACTAAAGCGGCTAAACCAGGCCCGAGGAGATTGCTTCAGGCCATATAAAGATTTCCGAAGTTTACATATCATTCCAGAACTCTCCCCCTGAGCAACAAAACCTGGTGGTTGCTCCATATAAACTTCCTCCTGCAAGTCACCATGTAGAAAAGCATTCTTAATATCAAGTTGGAGAAGGGGCCAGTGATGAATGGCGGCAAGGGCAAGAAACAGGCGAACAGAAGCCATCTTAGCAACAGGAGAAAAGGTATCCCCATAATCAAGACCAAAGATCTGTGTGTATCCCTTGGCCACTAAGCGAGCTTTAAGGCGATCAACAGTACCATCAGGACCAACTTTAACTGTGAACACCCATCGACAACCAACAACAGACTTCCCGGGAGGAGCACGAACAAGATCCCAAGTGCCATTGGAGTGAAGTGCCTGCATTTCATCAAGCATCGCCTGGCGCCACCCTGGATGAGATAGTTTCACCTGTGGTTTTAGGGATGGAAACAGAAGAGAGACTAGAAACAAAAGTAAAATGTTGTGAAGAAAGTCTGTCATAACTCAAGAAAGAATAAAGGGGATGAGGATTTCGAGTGGATCGAATACCTTTCCGAAGGGCAATGGGAGGAGTCTCTGATGGAGGATCCGGAGGAGAAGAGCCGACGGGAAGGGGCGATGAGTCATCAAGAGGCAAAGTCGGAGGAGGTGCAGGCTGACGACGCTGGTATGTGAGGAGAGGACGATCTGCAGGTATGGAGGTAATTGGTTGCTCCTCTGGAATAGGGTCACCTGCAGCTGGTAAAGACAAATCAAGAAAAGGAACAGGAAGGACCTGATCAACTTGGGACACTGGAGACGGAGTAGAGTGAAAAGGCTGCTGATCAAGGAAAGTGACATCAGCAGAAACGATATAACGCTTGAGATCAATAGAATAGCAACGATACCCTTTTTGAAAACGTGTATACCCAAGGAAAATACATTTGAAGGCCTTGGATGTCAACTTGTCTTTACCTGGAGTAAGATCATGAACAAAACAAGTACAGCCAAAAGTATGTAAAGGCAGAGGATAAGAAGGTGCTCCAGAAAACAAAATACTGTGGGGAACATCATTATTTAGCACAGAAGAGGGCATGCGGTTGATAAGGAAACATGAGGTGATAATAGCATCTGCCCAAAAACGGAGTGGGACGTTCATATGAATGAGAAGGGTACGTGCAGTTTCAACTAGATGTCTATTTTTACATTCAGCGACTCCATTTTGTTGTGGAGTGTGGGGACAGGTAGTCTGGTGTATCGTCCCTTGTGTATCCAGAAATTTAGAAAATTCAAGAGACACATACTCTTTTGCATTATCACTGCGCAAGATTTGAATAGAAGCACCAAATTGAGTTTTTATTTCTGCACAAAACTTTTGATAAATTGAAAATAACTCAGAACGATTTTTCATTAAATAAACCCAAGTGCAACGGGAGAAATCATCAATAAAGGTGACAAAATACTGAAAACCCAAAACAGACGTTGTTCGACTCGGACCCCAAATATCAGAATGAACAATAGAAAAAGGAGCATCAGCTCTTTTATTGACTCTATTAGCAAAGGAGGAGCGAGTGTGTTTTCCTTGCTGACAAGAATGACAGTTTAAAGACTTAAGATTGGATAAAAAGGGAACCATATGCTGAAGCTTGGAGAGGTTTGGATGACCCAGACGGCTGTGAATTAGCTCAGGAGACTCTGTGAGAGAACAGGCTACTGGAGAAGGTGGTGCAATCAGATAGTAGAGACCTCGTGACTCAACGCCTGCTCCAATCGTCTTCCCCGTACCCGAATCCTGCATAGAAAAGGATTGTTTAGAGAAGGTAATAGTACATGAATGAGAATGAATCAACTGGCTAACAGAGATTAAATTAAAAGGAATGCCAGGTATATAATAAACAGAACTCAAAGTTAAAAGAGGAGTTGGGTTGGCTTCCCCAATTCCACGAGCAGGAGCCTTAGTGCCATCAGCAAGAGTGACAGGAGGTAGGTTATTAGAATAAGAAAGTGAAGTGAAGAGATCTTTATTACCACAAAGATGATGAGTAGCACCTGAGTCTATTATCCAGGGTCCAAGAGATGATTGATAAAAACAAGCAACATGATTACCAGTGTCTTGAGTAGGATGCTGAGAAGAAACCTTCTTGAGAAGTGCCTCATAGTTGACACTTGAAAGAGTTACTAATCCAGTTGAAGGTGGCGTAACATCAGTTTGAGCAAAGTTGGCAGTCGATGGCTTCAAATGAGGGTACTTCCTATAGCAGCGTTCTTCAAAATGCCCAAGATTCTGGCAATAATTGCAACGAGGCCTCTGTCTGCGGCCACGTCTGCGACTGCGTCCACTGTTCCAATTGGAATCACTGGCCTGAGAAAAGAATGGAGATGGGGTAGTACCGGAGATGATGCCAGTCGTGTTTTTGGACGCATTATTTGAGCCCTCCATCAGAAAATAGCAAAGAACTACAAGAAAGCAAGAAATCGCGCACAAACGTTGCACAAAAGTGTCCAAACAGCGGGGTTTTCACTGATATCTTTCAAACGGATGGGACCCACAACGAACGAAGACCAGATCTGGAAAGAGGGTGAGGAGGCGAGCAAGATAGTGGTGGTCCGGCCTGGAACGGTGGCCGGACGATGGCTCACGCGCCGGAACAGTGGCTCGGTCGCCGGAGACTTCCTCTGGCGCATGGCGGCGCTGGGATGCTCCAATCAACACGCGGCTTGGACAGACAGGGTCGCCTCCCTGAGCCGCTCCTGATCGCGTGGTGGTTGGTCGGAAAAGTCGTCGGAAAAGCAGTCTGACGGCGGTGAACAGTGGCGGACGGTGGTTTTGTGGCGGTTTCCGGCGATGAACGGAGGCTGACGATCTTTTTCCTGATGATACGAGGTTGAGGACAAGAAATTTGTGACTAAATACGGGTTAGGTGTGAAAGGATGGTTGCCGGTATGATGCACGGCAGTAAAAAGAAAGAAAAAGATATATATGCGGAAGCAGAGCCCTCAGATCGAGAGCTCTGATACCAAATTGAATCTGAAATATATTGTATATTCAAGTAAGTAAGTCTGTACAAGGAGGCTCTCTATTTATAGAGACTAAAAGACCTAATGGGATGACCTAATGGGCCAAGCCCACAATCTAGACTATTCTAGACTATTCTAATAATAAATTAATATTATTTCTAACACTGGGTAAGGCTATTCGAGTGTAATGCCCAAATCCATTACGATCCACTCCCCCATCTCCCTCGCCACTTGGGTTGCTAGTTAGGGGTGTGAGTGCTACTTGCAGATGCTGACCCGACCCGGACCCAATAGTCGTCCTACTCAGTTTACAAATCTTCTCCTCTTTTTCTCCTTCATCTTCTTGTGCTTCCATTTCTTATTTTCCGATTTCGCCTTCAACTCCCCCTCCTAACAGCATCACATGAAGTTGTGGATTGTTGCACACATTGTCCGCTAAAAATGGCACGTCACAACGAAAACAGAGGTTGTGCCATCGGCGGTCAGCCATCTCCTTCGTTGTCAGTAGCCGGTATCTTGCTCCACATCTGTCCCCATTGCTGTCGGTTGTCACCGAAGCTCCTTGTGTGGATGTAGAACCTTGCTCTTCTCTATTTTCAATGAAAGTGTGCTCTAGATTAGAGTTTCAGTTATTGGGCTCTGTTTGAACCCCAACTGTTTTGGTTTGCCCATTTGTATTGGGCCCTCAATGGTTTCTTCCTTTCGCTTCTTCTTTTCCCTTTTTCTTTCTCTGGTTCTTTATCTTTTTTTTCTTTTTCTTCTTTTTGGGTTTCTTCTTCTGCTCTTTCTATGTTTCCTTCTTCTGATCGTGCTCTTTCTCTCTTTTTTCTTCTTTCCCTGCTGCTGCATTTTCTCTTTTTTCTTTTTTTACTTCGACTTTTTTAAAACTCTGTCTTCTCTAATGCATCATCAATAATTTTTATCAACATTTCCCTAAGCTTTGATTCCTCCAATGATTTTCATTTATCAGAAACACCTCCGGATCGAAGATGCTCAGATACCAAATTGATGGAACCTAATTTTATTAATCTGAAATTGATGAAAACAAAAATGGAGACAAGCTCCTTACATAGATTAAATGTAGAAAAATACACCAAAAGATCCAACTCATCCTCAAAGCCGACAAACCTAGACTTCAAGAGATCCCCAAATCCCCAATATTCACTCAATTCATGTCTATCTCACTACACACACTGCCCCTCCTTTTATCCAATTTTCTAAGAACCTTCTAGAACAATTCCCTAACTAACTAACTAATTATTTCACTTTCAGGCCCATCAGGTTATTTTGTCAATTTCTAGTTCCTAGTTTAAAATCATTACATTGTGAATTAAAAATCATTTATATGATATATTTCAAACTATTTTTCAGTATATTTCTAAATCTTATGATTTGATACGATTTATAATTCATGATTCAAAAATTAGGTTGGCGATTCAAAATTTGAATTGCGATTTGATTGAAACCATTACTTCCAAGTTCCCTCCTATACCTTATATTCTATAGGTGATTTCATTTTTCTCTTCACACAATGCATTTTGTAGCATATTCCTTTAAACAGAAAGGATAATATAGTATGGTTGATATTCAATGGGAAAGATCACCGGCATACCTCTTCCAACAGATTTTAGCAACTTACTATCTGTTAATCAGTAATCACTAAATTTGGAGTCTATTATTAAAATATGCATACCTTAGATCCCCCAATATAACCTCCACAAGATCCAAATGATTTGGTGAATGTTCCCATCATAATGTCAACATCAGCAGTATCCACACCCAAGAGCTCACAAACACCTCTTCCCGTCTTGCCCACAGCTCCAATGCTGTGTGCTTCATCCAAATATGTATACACCTACAAGCAAAGGAAAAATGCAGAAAGTAACAATAAACAATCGGAATATGATTTCTGCTTGTGAAGCAAACATATTTGTCTGCCAGAGACATAAAAGGAGTGGCCCCCATCATTTATTTTCTCTCTCATTCCTCTATGCTTTCTCTCTATCCTTTCGACTCTGTGGCAGAGACAAATTTGTCTGCTTCAAAAGCAAAAATCATTTTCCCATAAACAATAGTAAAACAGTAAATAAAACTTGATAATAAAGAGTTTATCTAAGTCTCCCTTAAATGTCTGTTTTGAAGGGAAAGGGAGCATTAAATGAAGAAAAACCTCCAATATTTTGGCCTTCTCTTTCCCCTTCTCTCAACTAGACTCTTAAAGAAAAAAGTAGCAAAATGAAAAGTTGTCATATGAGACTAAGTATCCACTATCAACATCACTTTTATTCCAAACTAGTTGGGGTCCGTGATCAAAAAAAAAAAACTCCTTCTAGAGGGAAAAATAGGATTTTCTTATTTCTTTTACATAATGTGCCCATTTGAGTCATTAGCTTAAATTTAAGTTAAAATGGAATACACAATTTTCCTGGACATAAAACCATTTACAACAGTTCATTTGGAAATTTTACAGGAAGCCTCATCCATATAGACTTTTCACAAGCTTTGGATTTTAAACTCAGATTAAATACTCCCCCATGGCCCTCCCAAGTCCCAACCTCACCCTCCCCCCCCCCCCCCCAAAAAAAAAAAAAAAAAAAAAAAAGAAGAAGAAAAATGCATATGGGAAACAGGTATAAGAGAATTACAATTTGTACATTATATTAGAGCTACCATAATATTCACCTTGTATTTTTTGCATATAGCTATGATCTCTGGAAGTTTGCAAAGCTCTCCTTCCATACTGTATATCCCCTCCACAATAACCATAATCTTCTTCCAAGGCCTATGCGTCCTTGGCTGTCCCTCTGCAATTTGTTCTCTTAACACTTCTTCTAAATGTGATGGCGCTGCAGATAGATAGCCAAAGTGAATAAATAGTGCAGTGACCTCTGGGAGCAGCATCATATTAACACAAACAGAGAGACAAATTGAAAAATGCAACCAAGTAGGTAGCCAAGTAGAACACACATACCAAGTGTTTAAAATACATACAAAAACACAATTAATCATGTAAAGAGCCAACTCAACCCAAAAACTTAAGTTGTTTGGTAAAGGCCATATTAATGGTTTTATAGTTTAATTTTCTAACACACCCCCTCATACAAGAGCCTATTGGGCTTGAAGGGTGGACAATGTACAAGTCCACTACCTGTGCTAAGAAACTCCACAATATTTAATTATTTATTAATAGAATGAGGAACAGTGAGGATTGAATTCATGACCACTTGGTCACGAAGCTCTAATACCATGTAAAGCACCAACTCAACCCAAAAGCTTAAGTTGTTAGGTGAATGCCATATTAATGGTTTTATATTATATTTTTATAAAAAACCATAAGTCAGTTCAGTTACACCTTTCTGCTTAATTCTGTCAGCAGAAGTGATGTCACTGTGGGATTTAACTATCCTATACTTATTTAGTAAAGAGATAATGATATGGTGCAAAATAGTATCCACCATTATCTCTTAACCCATGAATTGAAATGAAGACCTTTCTGTTGGTAGCAGCCCTAAGCCAGGAAGGTGAATGTGAGAAGTAATAAGGACGGGGCCAATAATCTAGTTGGGTCAAGTCCTGTTAGTAATAGTAGTCAGACATAATTGATATTGTTAGATATATTAGATAGAGTTACCTGACATTAAATGATATTGTTAGATATAGTAGATAGAGTTATCTTATATTAATTAATATTGCTATACATAGTAGAAAGAGTTATCTTATATTAATTAATATTGTTATACATAGTAGAAAGAGTTATTTGATAATAATTGATATTGTTAGATATAGTAGTTAAAGAACCTGATATTGGAGGATATCCCTCTAACAAAATAGTCAGAACTCAGAAGTAGGATATAAGGGGGTGTTTGGTTCAGGAGAAATAATATTTTACTAGGGAAATGAAATTACTAGGAATCTGCAAGGAAAGTGAGTTAGATAGGAAAGTTTAAAAAAAGTTGTTTGGTTGAGTAAAATTTTACTAGGAAAATTAAATAAAATAACAAAATGAAGTGTTTGGTTGAATATTTTATATTGATGGGAAAGTAATTGAAATTACAAAACTATCCTTTTTTTAAATTGCCCGTTATACCAACAATTGTCCAAACGCACGGGTCGTATTTGAACACCAATCCCATGTTAGGATCGAACGATTCCACCAATCTGGAAAAGCTCATTTTTGAACACCCATGCCCACCCGACTGAAGAGCCTGACCATTACCCAGTTTTTAACCCCCATTTCGTATTTGTTCCTATGTCTGCTATGGTGTTACCCATCTAGCTTCTGTTCACGGGCATTGTTGCCTACTGGTTAGCCCACCGATCTGAGTTGCTATCCTACTGCGTTGGTGGTGCTGCAACTCTGAGTGGTGTGCTATGTGAGGGGTAATATAGTCACCAGTTTATATCACTTCTGCCACTTTTTCAACTTCTCTAGTTTTTACATAAAATACCACCTTCCAGGAAGCAATCTGAAACAGTGATTTTCAGACAAATCACACTCAATGCAAGATAGATGGGCAACAAGGAAAGATGGGTAAAAAAATGGAAATCTGTGAACCAAACATGGAGTTACTAGAATGCAAGCATCACTTCCCCAGGAAACTTTGACAAAAATCTGAAACAAACACCCCCTAAGGAAAGAAAAGGGACACAAGAGGGTGTTGAGTAGTGATAGTCGAGTGAGCGGGACAGATCAGGCTCTCGCATACCTGAGACACAACAATTCTGTAATCCTTCTTTTTCTTCATAGCTTTAGAATTTTAATTGAAGGGAGACCACATCAATAAAAACCTATCTTTTCCTTCATCGTTTCTTTAATCTCTGGACCAGTTCTATCACTTTCTTTTCATAATAGTATGTGGAAATTGTAAAGCTGACCACTTAATGACTAACTATAAAATTTATTCTCGTATACAGCAAAGATGCTCACTGTTATGTTGAAAAACACGAATAATTGCTCCTGATCCACGTGCACCATTAACAATTGAGTTGTGGTTCAATGAATCACTAATAATCAAACTTCCCTGCAGAAGATAGTTACACCGATAAATAATCATGTCAACATTAGCATCTCTCAACAAGGTAAAATCACTAAATTTTGCTGACCTTCCCCATCAAAACTGGAAGAATAGCAGAGTTTGTCACATAGCCCATACCAAAAACTAAAGCAGCCGGTTTCCCAACAAATCTTGCAACACACTCCTCCAATTCATTGTGAAGCACAGTCGTGCCTATTGGAGAAGCCACATTTGAGGAAACTTGATCAGACACATGCATAGATTAACAAACAAAACCTTGTTTTAATGGCTAAAATACAAACTTATAATACCTACCACCATCTACCCGGGTACTGCAAGTGCTTGGAGAATACTGCTTCAACGACTCAACCACTCGAGGTGTGCAGTATTCATCCGCCGCAGCAAAACCAAGATAGTTGTATGATCCCAAGTTAAGGCATCGACTTAATTTATTGGTTCGTCTGCATTCACATAAATATCTGATGCTAAAGCTCTAAAAGAAAAAAAAATATTACAGAAAAAATGAAAATTTGATATTTCAGAACACACTCACTCCCTCCCCAAAAAATATATATTAAAACAAAACAAAAATTATAGGCCTGAAATTGAAATAAAGGGTTATACTTTAGCGTCTTGTTATTATCATTCGAGTAGCGTTCGACTACATCAAACCAAGCATCAGGAGCACTTGCTATTGGTCTCCCAAAACAGTCCTGCCAAAAAAAAAAAAAAATGTTGAAAATAACCATTTAAAAAAATAGAAAAAAAATTCATAGCCACGTATCTGATCTTGCTAGTTACATTATATTGCAATTTGTTTGTCATACATAAATCATGACACGCATCCCAAATGGAAAAAAGAAAGAAAGAACTAAAAGGTTTAAAACATCACATTTTAAACATTGCTAGTTACAACTGTGCATGATTGTTTGGTGCTCAATATTTCTTACTAATTAAGAAACAGAATAATCAAAACAAAAAGTTAACTACCTGAATACGAAGGTATAATCGACGGATATAAAAATCTTCAAGTCCTAAGCAGATCGGTGCATAACCCTGCTTGTAAGAAACAACATGTAGGTAAATATCTATTAAAAAAAATTTAAAAAAAAATCAAAAAATGGAAAAATAAATTGAAAACGCGGGAAGAACCTGAAGATTGTTGGAGCTGCAAAGGTCGAAGATTTTCCTGAAGAAATCCCTGAATTGGCCAAAGGCAAAGAGCAAGCCGTAGCTGAAGTAGGTGGTTAATGCGGTCAAATACGGAATTGCTATCATTTTTCTTCTTTCTTTTAACTTTCAACGGAACGAGAATTTGAAACCGTCGGCGAGAGAAGGATCTGGATTCTGAGTTTGGAAACGAGGTGTTTTCTGAGGAGCGATCAGGGATCCGAACCCGAGTCTCGTGGACCCGTCGGAGAGACGAAGAGAGAGAAGCGGTATTTTGAAAATGAAGTGTCTGGTTGGAACGGGGATGAACTGGGACCTGTACAAGGGTAGAAATTAGAAAGGTATTCACAAATTTTATTGATTAAGGTTATATTGACAATTTTTTTTCCACAAATTTACAAATTAGATCTGATGATCGGTAATAATTTATTGAATAGAGTAGTATTATTGATCAGACATGGATATGGTATATTTGTAAATAAAAAGTTTATAAATATACTTTTTTTTCTTTATTTATTTTATCATGACTTTTAATGAATACAAGATGTAATGTGTATCATTTTAAATGATGTAAAATTGTGTCATTTTAAGTGAAAGAAAGAGATAGATAATAAAGGGGAGAGAGTGGACAAAAAATATAAAGGTGTGGATCCCACCTATTTATGAAAATGAAATGATATAAGTTGTGTCATTTAAAAAGAGAAACATTTTTACCTTTTAATTTATGGGACAGGTTATATTTACAAAATTTTTTGTTTACAAACTCTTACAAATTACACTATATTCTCCCGGGAGAATACAAACTTTTACAAACTACACTATGTTCTCCCGGGAAAATACATTGTAAATTGTAAAAAAATTCAAAAAAATTTGTAAACGGATCTGTCCCTTAATTTATAACAGAAGTTTTTTGAAAAGTTAATACGAATGCCAGGTTTTGACGAAAAATAAATTGTTCGATCAAGGGGCAGATCATTGTGCACACGAGAGAAATGGCAAGGTCACGGTAATATTTAAGGGGGGAAAAAGAGTGTGAAGTGTATGATTGTGAGACTTAATCTTTTATTTATAAATGGATTATCTAATGGAAGTAGGATTCTAGGTAATTAGAATCTCGTCATCCTCAGATTCGACCACCTACACGGAGGGAGCAACTGCTATGTTTTGGTAGAATTTCACAAACTCCATTTCTTCAGAGATTGTACAAACCACAAGATTAAATTGGTCCAGATAATGGTGGTTTCTTTTTCACTTCCTTGGGCCAAAAATAATTCCAACTAATCCATGAAATTGCAAAATGGTTACCGAACATAAGTTTACACACAATAGCAAAATTCGGGAAAAACTTTTCCCTATTTTGCTACCAAACGTGACATTATAATTTTCCCTAGCATATTTTCCCAGAAAGTTAAAAATAATCCTGATACTAAACACTACTTAAAAATATTTATGAAAGCATATTTGAAACTAGAAAGTAGTCTTTATTCATTTCAAGTTATCCTTTTGTTAACAATGCTGGGTAGAGTTGCTAGCAAATCTATTCTCCTTCTATTAATTTGTGCTTACTTGAAGCTTAGTCAACTCCAACTCTTTAAATTTGAGAAAAATTGTGGTGAAATTCGGTATTGCAGAAAAAGTCAAAGAATCCAAAACACAATTCCACCCTTCTAACATTTTACGTACTTCTAAAATTTAATTGTGATAGCAATGTTAAGTAATTTGCATAACTCCCGTATCTGTGATTGTAATGTTACTTAAATACGATGGCTCCTATATGCCATTTATTTTTAATTAAACTGAAACAGAATATTTTGTAGTTGATGACCCCTTATATCTTTCTTAAAGATAATATAAGAGAATAGAACTAATGAAATTATACAATTATTTTTTTTGGACTGTATTGTAATATAATTCACAGTGCCCCACATATAACTATATACAGGCAAATGGAAGCATTAAAATAACTGCATCCCCCCGCCCCCAACGATCTCATTGTCCTTCTTGCCCCTCTAGCTAAAGTGACCTTCATTTTAAATTCTCATGCCAAGTATAAAAGAAAAATTTATATTAATATGCAAAGATGAGAACAATGTGCAAGTGGTAAAATGCTTATTCCTCTTAACCATAAATTCAAAGTCTGAGCCTGGGAATCAAGAAAATAGTCTTGGAAAAGCCACAGCCTCCTATAATAAGCAGTGCTAGAATTAGACTAGTTGAATAATCAATAAATTCGTGAATATATCAACAACAAAAAACAATACGCAACATTATCTTAACCATATCATTGACTGTTATAACATATAAGAAACGGTTTACAATTTCCAACATAGTTTTCGCACAGAGAAATTGACATAGACCACTTCACAGAACCTATGAATAAACCAGGATTCGGGGGGCAGAGGGGAACACCAATAAGTTACAAGAATGACCAAGACTTACCATATCCTACACATATCATTAAGTACGAATTGGAGCAACATTTCTCTAGAGAACCATGAAAAAGTGCACCAAACCGAAGAGACAATTTTATTTTGTGGTGTGATTATCAGAAAAAGCAACAACACTCCTCTAGCACACAACAGCAACAAAGCGCTGCCAAGCTGCACATGTAAATGGAAAATTCTTAATCTTAATTAGCACCATAAAAACAAAAAAGAGATGAAAGAGAATACTGAAACTAAGAAAAGATTTCATGAGCGATTTTAGTTAAGAAAAATAAATGATGTCTCAAGCTGAAAGAAAACAATTCTATAGGAATTTATTAATTTAATGATATGTTATAACAGCTAAATGAGGAATTCTGTATATTAAGGAGTAGGGGCATGAAGTATCTCTTCCTATAATCCAGGTTGAAGATTTGTTAAGCCAGTTCAAAGCTTGGTACAGACTTAATAAATTTAATGAATGAATCAAATATTAATGTCTTAGGCTCATCAGTGAAAATGTAGTGAAATAGTAAGTTAAGAGTATATGAAATATATATTAAGGGATTAACGTTTCTCCTGCTATAAGAGATAAAGTTATCTCCTGCAACCGCAAAACGACATTGTTTTGGGGTTTACGAAAAAAAATGCAGGCTAACTTATCTCATGTATTTTTTTCTCAAACCTCAAAACAACGTCGTTTTGGATTTGCTGGAGATAACTTATCTCATGTTGCAGGAGAAACATTTTTCCCATACATTAATATGTATGGTCCTATAGCTGTATATTTCACATTTGAAACAAGTAATTTGTGTCATATCTTTTACATTCATAGTTTGCCATTATTGCTTTAGAATGTCACTGTGATTGGGATCAAGGTTAGGGTAAAACATGGCACATCATCAGAGTTGTGCACTAGAACTGACAGTTGCCTATGATATTTTCATTTGGGGTTCAACCATGCAGTATTTGTCAAACTAAGTTTGGTCCTTTCGGTCCATCAAATATTAATTTGTGCAACTTGTATATGACAGAATGTCTCCGAACTAGGTGGATATTAAACAAAGCAAAACAAAAAGTGAATCCATCAAATGTTGGATTGGGCTGTCTAAACCCAAGCTAACATAAAACATAATGATGAATCAAGCCTCGGCCTTCCATTTCTCAAATCTCAACTCTACTCACTTGCATACAACAGAATAAAAAAATCCTTCCACATTGTTTAATCTCAAATTCTTAATCATTCTTTCACTTGAATGTTTTTCCAATAATCATATCCTCCATAATCCAATGCAAATTTTTCGGGTTAAACCTTGAAGACAGGAAAATGTCACTGTGATTAAACATTCTGATGATTGTACTTAACTATCTTACCCAACCCCAGAGCCTAATTCATCCCAGGTACCACACAAAAAGTAGACAGTGAACCCCAATATGTATTGCTGCATATTTCAATAATGCCTCAACGTAATAGTTTGGAAATCATAAACTATTTAACGTGAAAGTCTAAAGTTTACAAGAAAAAATGGGAGTGATAAATAGCAGGGGAAAATACAAAGACATATGCTGCAATATATATTTAAGAGAGGATTATGGCCTATATATTTAGATGGCAAAAGGAAAGTCATCAAACTGGATCTGAGAATGGAACGTAAATGATTGAAACCAACAACTCTTTATTGAACAGAGATGATCCCCAACTCTCCTGAATTCTTCTATGATCTCCGGGATGATCCTTTTGATCCAGCTCCTAGCCTCCTACTTAGTTATAATTATTATGATTGAAGGTTTACTCTGTTATTCTAATCAAATCTTGATTTCATGCTGATCCTTGTCTGATTTGTTTCCATGATTTGAGCCTGATTTGCTTCAACACTCTAAGCCTGATTTGTTTCTACATTCTAAGCTTTGTTTCCATAATTATTGTGATCTGCACCTGATTTGTTTCCATGGTCTGGGTTTGATATGTTTCCATAATTATTCTGATTTGTGTCTGATTTGTCCCCTTGATCTGGGTCTGATTTATTTCCATAATTATTCGGGTTTGACCTAACGTTGCTTCTTCTGCAATAGACTTTATTTAGAATCTTTTTGTGGATTTATCAGAAAGCAAGCATTTCCAGCATTCTAGCATCATCATGTAGGAATCATGAATATATATCATCTTATTTCCCGCACAATGGTTGATATCGTCGCCATGTTCACCAATCTCTTGCAAATGCAAGGTAAGGCTGTCTACCATAAATCCACACAATGGATCAATCCACACAATGGATCAGACCATTCCATGAACCCTGAGCTTTATAGCACCACATTGCCCTTTATATCAGGTCAAAACTCCCCACAACTAGTAATCTAACTCTTATGTATTAAAGGTCTCTGGTCCTGTTTTTTATGTTAAAAAAATACAATTTTTCGAAATACCATGGATACAAATTAATTACTACAGGTTTTAACCTCACGCAACCACCCATAATTGTAATTCTACCGAGAGAAGTAGAGATTTTCTTATCACTCGTTTGAAAAAATGTTACAAGGACAAGGATGTGTCGATCTAAACCCACCACACAACCAAAAGCCTCTCATAAAGAATACTAGTAGTCAATGAGAGAGCCAGAAAATTTTTGGAATGGGGACAAAGGGTCAATACATAAGCCAGATTGGAAGAATCCTCAAAATTTTCATTGTATATGAGTAATAGTTAATCAAAATTTGAAGGTTAAGCTTGAAGCGGGGCAAATTTATGTTACACTAGATTTTTCTTATGTCTAAATATGATTTAAGACAAAAATTCGTATGAGATTGAGGGAGCAATCGCCCTCCCTAGCTCTGCTTCTCTATGATGCACCGACACTTCAAAACACTTGAAGTGTCACGTCCGACACTTACTGACACTCCCCGATACTCCGAGACTTCCCGACACTCCAATACACGTTGAAGAGACTCAAAAAAGGGATCGAAGGTTGCGTTGCATTACTTTTTAGTTCCAACTATTAGATTCGTTGGATTATGATTACCATGTTATTGAGTTTAATATAAATATTTAGGATATCTTATATTTCTTTGCAAAATTGATGGGTATTATAAAGTTAGTTTTATTTTTTTGTTAAATTATTGAATATTAAATATAACATACACTACATAAATTAAAAAAACATGTCCTAACATATTGAAATCTAATATTTTTTAAAATTAGCATGTCTGAGTGTCGTGTCGAGTGTTTCAAGGAGGAAGGAGGAAGGAAGCTTGTTTCCGTTAATAATGAGTCTGACGGTGCTCAAACTAGGTTAATAGGGTAATTGATTAACCGATATATATATATATATATATATATAAGAATAGACTAGCACACTCTAAACAAAAGCCAGGCTGTAAATAATAAAAAAATAAAAACCTTACCAGCCTTTCAAGAATGAACAACAACAACCGGGCTCATCATGACGATGATGATGATGATGCTCCACTTGCTGGTACTGATACTGTGGCGGAGGAGCTGGCGGCGGATACCCGTTATTGAAATAGCCCTGGTATGAATCATACTGCGGACGCTGAGGTGGCAGCGGCGGAGGGTACCCCGAATACCCCGGTGGCGGCGGCGGCGGAGGGTACACTTCTGGTGGGTAACCCGGTTGAGGTGGCGGGTAAGGAGATCCGAACCCTGGATACAAATTAAATCATCAATCTCACATGGAATTTCGAATTGAAATTGAAAATTAAAAGCAAGAAAATAAAAAGAACGAAAGGGATAAAGATTATTAATAAGTACCTGGAGGAGGGTATGCTTCTTCGGGTGCTCTCTGGTAATTGCTCATTGGACTTCAATTTTCTCACTTTGTGAGATGGTTGACGATGAGACGAAATTAAATAGTAGGAATGGGGTTGGGAGATGAAAGAAGATAGTAGACTAATAAATAGCTTGTGGGACCGGTTTATTTATTTATTTAATGATACTTTGTCCAATAATATTTTGCCACGTCTTCTTCATACAGTGAAACATTTTGTGTGCGTGTTTCCCTTGGATCTTATCTTTTTGTGGTCTTGCAGTGTGATTATTTTACTAGCAAGGGACGACTTTTAATGTGCCAGTTCTCTAAAATGGGGTTAAATCCGTTATTACTTGGGTTATTGGGTGAAAATTTTAAATAATGAATAAGTTGAAAAAAAATTATTTTTTAAGATTTCTTGTTGCGAAATGATTCATCCCTCCATCAAAGATCTGAGTCTGGTAAACTGAACCGCTAGCATAAGATTGAGGGTTTGTTTAAATTGTGTTTTTGAAAATAATTTCTCGATTTTTTAAAAAAAATATAAAAAATTTGTTTCATAAGATTGTTTTGTAAACATAATTTTTAAAATTATAATAATTTTTTTTTAGAATTAAATTTAGAGAATATATTTTAAGTTGTTTTAAAGGGTTTGTTTAATTGTATTCTATTTTTTAAAAAAAAAATTGTTTTATAGAATACTTCTTAAAATTAGCTTTGATTTTCTCTTATTATGAGAATTATTTTTTATATTGTGACTCAAGTAAGATGAACCTCACACTTATTAAAAAAATGTTTTGCAAGTAAATCTAAGGATCATAACATGAGAAAACATTTTTCATGCAACATGAAAAATATTTTTTTCCTAACAAAGTAGTTGTTTTCTACATTTTATTTTAAAAGTTAAAAGTCACTATACAAAACAAAAATAACTTAGATATATCGACTTTTTAACCCTTTTACCCTTCATTAATTAATTAATGATTATTTTACCCCTTATTCAAAACTATCTACCAATCTGCTCCTCTTTAATCGATTAACTTGAAGATTTAATCAATTAAATGGTCAAAACTGACAAAAATAACTTCAATCAACCATTTTTGTCAGTTTTGACCATTTAATTGATTAAATCTTCAAGTTAATCGATTAAATAGGGACAGATTGATAGATAGTTTTGGATAAGGGACAAAAATAATCATTAATTAATTAATGAAGGGCAAAAGAGTTAAAAAACCTATATTTATCCTCCAAATTTAATTCTAAAAATTAAAAAACAGTTATATTACACGACTTCGAGACCAAAACCAAGGCAGCTTTGGTGGTATTGTGGTTCCAAAAAAAGTTTAAAATAACAAGACAAAACAAAAAGATTGTAAGCACGGGATTGGTTTATATTGTCAAAGTATTTTTTATTTTTTTAAAAATAAAAATAAAAACTCATTTGTATTGGTGTTTTGTGATCTCAACCTTTTCAAATGACAAAATAGTATAAGTATTTTAAAATTGAAAAAATAAAATAACACATAACATATGTTTTTAAACTATTTTTTACTTTAACCTGTATTAAAAGGTAAAATTATTTTTAAAGCCATATAGCAATGACAGGTGTATGGTTATTAGGGGTATTCACGGTCTGGATTGGATCGGTTTTGGAAGCAAAAATCATCCGATCCAACCCCTTCGGTTTGATCATATAATCATCCATTCGGTTTTGATTTTTTTTCAAATCCAATCCGATCCAATCCAATTTTTTTCGGTTTGGATTGGATCGGTTTTCGGTTTTTTGAGAAAATCCTAAAATTTATTTCATGATTATTGTGCAAATAACATCTTTTGTATATATTGGCTTTGTAAAAAAAAAAAATACAAAAGCATTAATAAACTATAATATAAATTTTTTAATTTTGACAATGAGATATGAAGCTCTACAAAGATAAAATCTTGTTGATGAGATATGACTAGATTTTTTCTTGGGTTTAGTTGGTGGGTTAATGGGTCTTGGGTTTAGAAATTTTTAAGCTATGATTAGGGAAATACCAAAGTAGGTAGAGAGAAATTAATATATTGGATCGGTTTGGATTGGATCGGTTTTTATCAACCCATCCAAAACCGATCCAATCCAATTAAAATTTGCGGTTTTTAATCGGTTTTCGGTTTTTCGATTTTCGGTTTATTCGGTTATCGGTTTTTCGGTTCGATCACCGCGGTTTGAATCGGTTTGGATTGGTTGATGAACACTCCTAATGGTTATGATTCCCCACATTTAATGTTTTAATCTTTTATATGGTTATGATTCCCCAAATTTAATACTTTCACGTGTGTGTATATATATATATATCTATATATATATATATATATATATATATTGCACGTACAACAGCTGCAGATATATAAACTCCATATTAAAAAGGGATTATTACTTATTAATATTATGTTAAAGGAGACAACTTGTCTCATGTGGGGCTCATTGTTTGTTAAACAAAAAAAACCTAAAAAATTAAAGGGATCCACCTTTTATTTATATAGTGGAGGAAACATTTTCTCCAACAATGTGAGAAAATACTTTTCCTTACAAAAAAACTATATTAAAACTAAAAATAAGTTATAGAAAATAAATTTAAAATTATTTGATATTTGATAAACAAATTGTATATGAAAACGCTTGGTGTAGAAAATAATCAAGTGAAGCATGATGCTCGCTGATCTCAGCATGAGACCAAGATTTGATCTCGTTGTTGACATTGCGCTAGGTTAAACTAGTGTCGTCGGCCGGAACAAGATCTCATCTCCAACACTACTAGGTTGAGAGCCACTTAACCCAAGTATTCCCTTATTAAAAAGAGGAAAAAAACATGGGAGAAAATTATTATAAAGACAAAAATAATATTAATGTGTTATTTTTTCATATTTGATAAAGAATATACCAAGAGTTTGATACTCTGCACTCAAAATATTTTCTTACCCTTGCAGTCGAGATGCTGAGCTAAGCTAAGAGAATAAAGAGAAAAACACGCCCTAAAAATATGCTTTTTGTTATTCTCTATTGTTGGTGTCTACGCGTCAATCAAGGAAAACTCATTCATTCTCAAGATGATGACCAATGGTATAACAATCCATACTTTTAAGATTTGATTATGTATAGTAATTATAAATAAAATTACATAAGTATAGGAAATTATGAAATTATATAGTTAAGTTTTGTAATTTTACGGTAAATATGTCACGGAAGCAAGAATTGAACTGCTAATCATCTGATTGACATGATAATAATTATGGAAATACAATTCATGCCAAGCAAAATTAGGACCCTAAAAATAATATTTGATAAGTTTTGGGGTCAAAGTTTAATTATGTGAAAGTATAGGGACCATTTTGCAATTAAGCAAAATTAGGTCTAAACTTTAATAAATGATATGATTAAATTCTATGGAATATTTTAAGGATTTTAAGTAGTCTTAAACTATGTTAATTATGTCTAGAATAATTATAAAAATTAAGACAAGAATTAATAAAATCAACCAATAAGAAATAAGATGACATAAGTGTAAAATAAGTCAAAATTGGTATGCTATATATTTCTTCTTACTTCTAGGTCGCTTTTGGCTTCTTCTTAAGGACCAAAATCTGCATTCTTCTTCTTCTTCTCTAAACCATGGAAGCCATAGGAGGAAGAAGAGCTCAAGAACTTGGTCTTTTAGGCACAAAAATGCATAGTTTCTTCGAGAGAAAATCTTCCTAGTCATTATAACACCTTGTAGATTTGAAACACTTAATTATACTTAAAATGATGATTAAAGGGTAGGATTAGTGAAAAATCCTGAGTCTTTGGTCAAAATACGTTAAAAAGGTAAATGGTAATTTGATAAATACGTAACCCTAAACAGTAAAATGATAGTATAATATCTCAAATGAGAAAAATAACCCTAGAAATGGATTCAGAACAAAAAATTGAGTGGTTAGGCAAGTTTCTGAAAATTTGATTAATAGTATTTTTACTGGATGAAAATACAGCGGTACAGTTGCACTGAAAAACGTGCCCAGTGAAATATGTGCTATAGATTTGAATATAAGTTGGAAAAGGTACTTAGGACCAAGAAATATGATTATTGATGAAATTTGTTGAATGTTAGGATTTTTGGAAAAACGTGCCAACGATGCACATATCAAGCTAAAATAGTGATTTCACCGAATTACTGAAAAACTCTGGATTCATCTGTTCAAGGGTAATTAAAGGACTCTGGTGAATGTTAAATTTTTTATTTAATGGATAGTTCATAAATAATTGAATATTAGTGGTGAGATTAAGTGAGTTTAAGCGATGTGGAACTTATGGGCCCACTCCCAATTAAGTGACTAAATAAACACATGTCCAAATTCATTTGGAACATCATCTTCCTCCCTTGTGCAGCCCAAAAACATAGCCCCCCCTTCCACCATTGAAAAAAAGAGTTAAAACTTGATAAATCCATAACTCAAGCTACACTCAACGAAATTGAATGGTTCCAAAGCCAAAGTTGCTTGGTTTTCTCCCTAGAATAAAACCTCCACCTCATTTTCGGTGTAGGAGCATTATGGAGTGAGATATTCCTCTAAGAAAATTGTGACTTTTTGAGGAAAGTGGAGACATTGGTGGTTGTTTGCTTGATTGGCTGCTTGAAGGACATTCATTAGAGGCTTAAGCATTGATTTGTGGTAAGTTTTTATACCTTTTATTGGATTTTCATTGCGATCATAAATTGAAGACTTAAGCTATGTGTTGGTGAGTTTGGGTAGTTGGAGACCTCAAATCAGCGGCGGAGTTGCTTTGAACCAGCTCTCTTTTCACAAATTGTACTTACTACTCAGCTTTTTTTGGCGCCTTTTGCAAATAACGATACAACATTGCTCCTATGGCACCTGCAAACAATGAAACACCACTTTGGTGCCTACTGATGTCAAAAATTTGCTCTATATCTTATCTTTATATATATATATATATATATATAATTTTATTTTTCAGTTTACAAAATAAAAATAAAAATAGTAATAATAACAAGTAAAAAATAAAAAGAAAAAATGATGAGAAGATACGCATTGAGCCTTGCTCCAGCATAGCCTATTCCATCAACATCAACGCACTCAATCAGTATCAACAAA